AGCTGATACGGCCCCAGCCAGCGGCTGCGAGGCAGCCAACGCCTCGGCCAGGATGTGTGCAAGACTTGGCTTTGAAGCAGATCCAGTGTGGTGTGAAGGATGTTGATCTCTGGAGCAGTTGCAGGAGTTCAAGCTTTCTTATCAAGCAGGGGAGGAATGGGAGTACCTGCTCTGGTGGAGTCAGTCCCTTGCTGGGAGGTGGCACAGGGCTGCTCCCCTGAAAGCTGTGCTGGACTCTTCACTTCTACTCGAGGCCCGTATGGCAGCACGCTGTCTGCAGTCTGGACTCTTGCCACTGCACTGGGATGCCTCAGAGAGCAGGGGAGGGAAGGGATGAACATAGATTTGCCAGCACTATCTGGCTACCTCCCCCCTAACCCCTGACCCACAGCCAGGATGTGTTCCAAGAGGCAGAGACAGCACTGAGACAGTGCATGAGTCCATACTCACACTGAAATCAGAGCTTTGGGGGAGCTGATTTCTCCCCTCGAGGTGACTCATCACAAACCTGCTGGTTTTCAAAAGGGAGGGGCATTCCCATCATGAACAGAGGACACCTACCTATGACTCCCTGGGGTCCATGAATGTCCCAGACCCACTGCAGCACCCAGCACGTGTGCACAGCCACGCAGGGCTTGGAGAGCACACAGCTGGAGCCCAAGACCTGCTGAGATGTTTGGAAGGGTACAGGGAGGCGCAATTAGTTTCATTAACATGGAAGATTCAGAGCACTACAAAGAAGAGACTAAAGTGCTTCGTATCATTAGTGCTTTGCAGAGAACAAAGTAACAAAAGATCCACCTGGATAACAGATCCTTGTGTTTAATAATGGTGCCAGCACGTTGCAGAACGACGTGGTTGATCTCCAACCCCTAAACCCTGCCTTGTACCTCACACATACTAATCTGCCTCATCTCCTCATCCTCCTGCAGTCAGGAGGAAGCTGCAACTGTGGCACTGGGACACTGGCAATGCAGAGCTCCAGGCTGGAGCACTGGCTCACCAGGAAGCTGAGCAGTGCAGAATTAGATCTGCACAGGATTACTGCACAGGAGATCAAACCTGATTACCTGCTGCTGAGGGGGAAGAGCTGGAGGGGAATTGTTCCACCCTGGCAGCAAACAGGAGCACAGCAGGATGAGATCAAGTGGAAAAGGGACATGGTGGCAACACCATGACTTAGGGGAAACTCCCTTTCTTTCAAGGTGAGCCATTACCTTCCTTGCTTATATGCAAAACACTCTGGAGGTGTGATGCACACATGGTGCCATTTATTGTTTGCAAAAAGTGTGGCCAAGTGCCAGCAACCAACTCTTCCTGCAAGCATATCCTTCTGTCCAGAGGGACATGACAGCTTGAGGAATAACTCCTTAGGCCAGGACACACAGAGCAGGCTGCTATGATCCTGGCTGCCAGAGGGTGAACTAGTGCAGTGATTTTCCAGCAAAGATCACAGCCCAAGCCCAGTGCAGATCAGCCTCCTCAGTGCAGTCTTATCCACCTAGCTCTTCCATGCACAGCAGGTAATTTTTGCAGCTGCACCCATCCCTGTGCAGGATTCAGCACTGGGGGTCATTGCACCCACCCAACCCAACTTCCCTACTCCTTATTGTGCCACTGGTGATAAGCATTTCACCCTCCCACACAATGGAGCCACAGGCTGGCTATGAGGGGCAGGGACACAGACTCTGAACTGGAACAGACTCTGACACTCAGATTAAAAACACATTTAGAGGATGGTCTCATCAGGACTTCCCGTCTCTCCTTAACCTTGATCCCCAGGTGCTCAAACTAATAATGCTTCAGATGCTCTACGGTGGGAAACTCTGAATTGCTCATTAGGCAGCCAAACCACATCAGAGCTATTCCGGGGAGAAAGCACTGGGAATCTTTACAGGAACCTTTGGACTCCGAGTCACAGTATTAGCATTGATTTTAAATGAAATAATGGTCCCTGCTGTGCATTAAAAGCATTCTTTATAGAAAGCCAGCAAGGTAGAAAAGAGCCATTGTACCCAGAGCCTTGGCATGCCTCCAGGCCCCTCTGCTCTCCAGTGAATGGCAGAGAAGCTAATAAAGGCAATCTTCACCTCCTCGGCGCTCCACACTGCCCGGTGTTTGCTGGAGCCTCAATGAGACATGATGTACTGTCTAATGAACATGGGAAATTAGCCATGCCTCTCTCGTCCTGCTTCAAGATGCTATTAAAGAGCTTTCAAGGGTCAAAGCAAGCTTTCACCTAAGAGGAAGAAAGCTGCTGTCTGCACACAGCTGCACACACTGGGCATTCTGTGCGGATAAACACGCAGCGACACGCACACAGCCCTACCTTCCTTGTCACCAACCGCGGGGCTCCGGCTCTTCCCCCTGGGGCTGCTGCTGGGCTGCTGCTGCTCCTTCTCAGCCTGCTGCTGCTGGGACTGGGAGAGCTTGCTCGGGGGCATGTCCTCGCGGGCAGACTCGTGGGCTTTTGTGATCTGCTGCTGGTAGAGAGCCAAGGCGTGGGGAGGCACCTGAGGCTTCGTGCTGCCACTCTGCAACATCCCCTCCGAGAAACCTCCGGAAATCTGCAAAGCAGTAAGGATTGGTGACACTTGTCATATGCTGCTGACATCCACAACAGGCTTGGAGACATCAAGGTGTTATGAGAAGCCTCTGCCCCACACTAACATGGAAAATCTTAGCAGGCCAGTCAGGGCTCCAAAGCTCACCAGACTAAAAAAACCCCATGATAAGAGTATCAGCTCTGTGCTGGTGACACTACAGGAAAGACTTCAGACTTGTTCAAAACCTCTAATCTGGAGTTTTTGTCAGAAGTTACATTACAGCAGATTCATCTTAAGCTGTAACATGGGAAACTGGAAGAGCATCAAGGAATGGGCCCTCCTTGAGCACTCCAACCCCAAAGCAGGGATTTCCTCCCTGACACCATGCACTGCTGCTCCTCTGGTGCTGACCCTGGAGATACCAGGATGCTTTTTGTCACAGCCCAAGCCTCTGCAGCAGGAGGAACCATCACACTTGGAGAATACATGTTCTTTCATCAATACACAGCTACTGGATAACCAAAAAGGGGGGCTAAGCAAAGCTTGTGGGTGAAGAAGAGCATAAATGCATCTTAGGTGGTATCCTTCAAGCACATGAGATGAAGTGCAGGGCTGGGAAGGTGCACTCTCGCTTTTTAAAGCAATGGCAGGCAGCAGTCATGTGGCAACAAGAAGCTTTTTCTGTCCAGACCTCCCACGACTTTCTGATAAAAGAGCTCAAGAGACATCCAAATGCTGCTGGCAGAGCTGCTCCAGCAGCTGGGAACACACTCTGCTCAGGGAGCACCTTGCCTACCCAGGGGCTTGCACTGCTCAGCACAGCTCTCTGTGGACCAGAGGGCATCCCCAGGGACACATCTTGCCACTCCGATGCACTCCACACAACCCAATGGAAGAGCATGCACGAGGCACAGGAGGACACTGCGCTCCCAGTTCCAGCCCTCCCCAGTGGGGTACTCACGATGGGAGGGACGGCAGCAGCTCTCTGCTTCAGCTGTTTCAGGTCCAGTGGCTTCTGCGGCGAGGAGTTGAGCCTGGTGTCACCGGTGGTGTTGAGCAGGCTGGGCCGGGGGGACAGCAACCTGCACACAAAACACGCATGTCAGCTGGGCAATGCCATGGATATGTTCCATGTCCCACCCCATGCACTGCTGTTCTACGCTGCCAAGCCTTGAGGACATCCTCTGCATCAGAGAGGAGTGTGCTGGACTGCTGTTCACTGCTGGGAATCTGGGCTCAAAGACAACTCCCATGAGGCTCTGTGCTCAAACGAGACCCTTATGTCTGGCTCAACAGACTCTCAATCCCCCTTTCCCTCATCCCTACGCTATTTCTACCACATCTGCTGCTGTCCAGAATAAACCTGAGGGAGAACTGGGGCCTTTAACTGGGCATTACAGAGCAGGGTGACCAGTTCAGATTTCATCTGCGCATCATGCTATGCTCCACAGCTCAGACGTGGTGCTTGCCTGGCACTGGGGATCAGCCTCATGCTCCTCTCCAAGGACTGTCTCTTATCAAGGTGCTAAAGCCAGGGCAAGCCACCATGTGCAGGTGGCAGGGGTGCTAGGGTCACTTGAAAGATGAGAGGCTGGAACTGGATGGGATTTGGTGCTCAGCCCAGCAGCTGTGCAGCCCTGCACCCTTGCCACTTGTTCTTCCCCTTGGCTGTTAGAGCTGGCTAGTAAAGAGTCAGATTCATGGAATCCCTAAGCAAACATGGTGGGCATCCCCATAGTGCCAACAAAACAGGGTGGGGATGGAGATGTGCAAAGCCCAAGGGTCAAACCCTCAGTATGTCCAGCTCCTGAGCCCATGTCAAGACCCCGGGGACCATGTCTCTCCAAGCCATCTCTGCTTTCTCTCCCTCCTGACTCCAATTTGTTGCAGCCAGTTCATAGTTTTCAAGCTTTACAGCTTGATTTGTTTATTTTAGCTGTTATTTCACTGTTCTCTTCAGCCTATAAATTTCAAGGTCATTCCATGCTCACCCTTGGATGAATAAACAAGCGTGGCGGGGCCATGTGCGGGGAATAAACTCATCGTGGTGCTGGGACTGCCCCAACCCTCATACTGCACAGTGCCTGGCACTGGAGGGGAAGGGGATCCACCTCCACACTGGGACCAGGGTGCTCTGGGGTTAGGCACCCAGGGGAGACCAGGGAAAGGGCAGAAAATCTGAGCTGCTCCCCAAATAATCCCAACGACGTCTGCCTGCAGAGCCACAGGGGTGCTGTGAAGTCACGCTGTGGGGGACATGGGGCTCCTGGAATGGTGCAACACCCTTGGCTGGGGACAAGGACACCCAGCACTTGCTTCCAAGACCTTCATGCCATGCTGAGCTGTGGTACAGCCACCCCGGCAGCTGCTTAGTGCACTCGCTGGGGTTGCAGAGATGCATTTAAGCACCCTTAAAGTCCCTTTAAGCACCCTCAAGATCTTCAGGTTTCCTGAAGCCCTCCAGGATCCTGACACTTAGGAAGCCAGAGTCAGTATTAACTTCATCAATATGCAAATCGCCTAATTCATGACGTCTGTCCCAGCAGATCTTGCACTGGACACGGGGATGCCTGTTGGGTGCTTTGTTCTGGAAGTTACTGTATGAACAACTCTCAGCATCTCCTATCAACCTGCTGATAACCCCGTGCCTCCCAGACCCAACCACCAGTGCCTAAAGACAGGTGATGGCACTGGGAAGGATGGGAAAAGGGTTTGAGCAGGAAGGCGCCAGCACACCCACAGCTGAGCCTTGGCAGTGTGGAAATGTCTTGTCCCAGGCATGAAGCTCTGGGGATGACCAGGGCATCACATTCCCCGAACTCCATCTCCTCCTGCCATGGAGATGTGGACTAGTTTAATTTCCAGGTGAGCCAGCACACTGACACATGACCCAGCCACACATGGTGGTTGTCCAAAGGTGATGGCCACCAGTTCTGCCCAATGGGCTCCCCCAAGCCAGGGCCACGGCACCAACACAGCACTGATCCAGCAGAGTCCTTGCACCTGTGGCTGAGGCAGCAACTGAGAGAAGCGGCACAGGGTGGCCCAGTGCAGTGTTTACAGGCAGGCAGGTGCCTCCTCTCCGCACTGCAGGTCTGCAGTGGTGGCTGTGCGTGGCCTCCCTCACGCATCCCCACCCGGCCTGACCTCCCGCTGAACCACAGCCCGAGCTGCGCCAGCAGCAGTGCTCCTGCACCACTCACTGCATGGAACCACAAAAAGCCAGCTGCCTTCTTTAGCTTGCATGAGTTAAGGCTGCGCCTCCTCAATCCCGGACGTGCCTTTGCTAGTGTGAACCGCAGGAGGACCCAAAAAAAGGCTGCCCCTACATCTCACCCAACTCTGCACTCCTTCCCTCTCACCACGGGGACACCCCAGCCACCCTCTGTCCCCTTCTGGGAGATGCCAGGGACAGCTTGACGCTTTCACAAGCGCAGGGAAG